AAAGGAATCTCTTCCAGACTGCATTTGTCTTTTGCCGAAGCTCAGACTCTGGCACAGGATCGGGAACTTTGGAAGCACTGTCTGACTCGCTGTATTTGTCTTTTGCCGAAGCTCAGACTCTGGCACAGGATCGGGAACGTTGGAAGCACTGTCTGACGCGTCTTCTCCGTGACCCGAAAGGAGTAGCGGCGATGGAAGATGAGGAAGATGACTATTTTCAGTTTTTAACATGATCACGATGCTGGAATAAATTACTTGATTTCTGACTCATCATGAGAAAGAACAACGACTTCTGGAAAAATAATTCAGCGGCCTGTCTGCTAGACGGATGACATTGAATGGATGAAAGAGTTAACATAATCAACACCACAACATCAGACAAAACCGGAGGCAGTATCATGCGATAACACCTCATGTCATTTACTCTCTGAACAGAGGACGACAAGGCGACAACTGATGAAAATAATAATATGCGAAATTAACTCAAGGTGTACTGTGCTCATTGTAACTCTGCAGGCACACCGAACTTGGTCCGACACGTGAGATACCTTGTGAACTAAAGAATATTTAATTCGTTGTCCCCTCATCTGTGATATACCGAAGCATCATCATGCAACATTAGAAATTTTGAGAATGCTACGAATTACAATACCACTTCTGAGCTTGATTTATTTATGGACGAAGAATGGTATCATTTTTGCTATCGTCACGCTTGTTGACTGATTTTCTGCCAACAGCTTTTACCCATATTACAAAATTCATGTGCAATTTTTAGCGACTGTATAATTGTTAGGCATCATTCATCTCTGTCAGCAGCAGTTCAGCACTTTTCGGGCATCGAATCAAAGCCGAAAATGTTAATTCAATAAATATGAACGGATATGCTTAAATCTTGGTTGCATTCAAACGCAGAACGACCTACTTTGGGTACACCAGTGCGGAGCTATCGACCAACAGCCCCGCCACAACAGTGAATTGCTGTGATCTTGTGTAAAGCATTGCAGAGACAAAACATGATAGCTGCAGTAATGACCGACTTGTGCACCGACCGTGACTATATGTAGGTTTGTCACATCAACTGTAGCATTCAATATTTTTCGCATGTAATAAGCCCTCTGGTAATTTTGGTAAGTCGGTCCTGTGACAATTTGAATTTGTTTCACCCTACCATATCGATGTTGCTTTATCTTTGATGCTATTCTTGTGTGTTTAATGATATCTTCGATGGGTCATTCGCTTTGCCCTGTCAATTGTCATCCTCTGCTGACATGGTATTTGTTTTCAATTTCGGTTCATTCCGCCTGTCATTAATTCATCATCTTTCATAGCAGGAATTATGACTTGTTTACTCTCGACAATCATAACAGATTTTTTTTAGTATGATCTGTATCTCCAGTTTTAATTATTTTAGTGGCCGTTTCCCAATAATATATCTATGATACATTTTTAAGGCAGACATAACTGCCAAACCTGCAGATTCCAAATTTCTGTCATGTGTGATACCTTTCAGTAATTGGCTATGACTGACTTATAGTCGAAAATTCCTTTGTCTTTTGCCTTGCTCTCTGTGCACACTATAACAGGGATCTGCTGCTCAAGTCAACTGTTCCTCAATTTTCAGTCTTTGATGAAATCATTGGTCATTCCTCGAAGTTTCATATCGCTCTTAATGACATAACGCCAACTTTTATTTGTTTTTGCTTCTCTTTTATTCCCTGACAGTTCAGTACTTGGCCACACATTTCGATCGTACTCATTTGGTCTTCTTTTCACGTGGATCAACCAACGGATCCTACTTCCGATAAGTTTTTCTGACATTGGTGCTACGCCTAAAATGCCTCCAATGAAATTATTCAAAGTATGGTCCCTTTGGCTGATACAACAGATCTCTCTTAGCATTCGCATATTTGTTTAGCTCAACTGTAGCACGTGTCTCTTGAGGGGAGTCAAACATTCCGTTCCGTACCGAAGTAATGAACCTTTCTTCACACATTCCCCTCAAGTTTGACTCATATCTTCTTTTTGCACAGTATACATCTTACCTCCCTATATTTGAACCGTGGGTCTTCAGAATAATTTCTAAATTTACTATCAATTTCCCAAACGGAACCAGGATACACGAATTCTAGGGTTTGACGCAGCATGCCCCTACTTTCAGCGGTTTGTTGCCTTTCTGCTCTTCCTACTGAAATATCACATATAATATGCAGACTTGCCTTTGCTGAACCGAAGGCCGTTCTTTCCAGGTACTGTTCACCATGCCTCGATTTTGGCGG